CATACCAAATATAGTTATGGACTTAGACATTAATCCAACACCACCACCACCACCTTCGTCACCACCACAAACTGCAACAATTCCACAAACATCACTTCCAAGTGTGTCACCAACATTTCAAGGAGTTATGAATGAGCGAATTACTACCTTGTTCTCTTCACAATAAAGTGAACCAGAAGTGAAGTTTATTGAAGAAGAGGAAGACAACGAAATGGTTGGATTTCCAGAGTTGGAGTTCAATACTAAAGAAGAAAATGTTGATGACAATGCCATAATGTCTGGTAAACAGTGAAGATTATCAACTCTAAACTCAATTCAATTCTTTAATTCTTGAATGAAAGTGCTGGGAAATCTACTGTTAGTGGGGAGGTGGTCGAATTCTTGTTAAAGTCTCAAGAATCACGAACTAGGACTTTAATTGTTGGTGTTGAGAAGGGTATTGATGAGCGTTTGGCTACACATTCTCAAACTTTCAATCATCAAATTAAGAAATTACAAGATGTTTCTCGTGAGCAACATGACTTGTGTGAGAAGTTGGTGAATACTTCTAAAACCTCAATCAAGTCGAAGTTCAAGGAATTCAGTGATTTGTTCTCTAAATAGGTCAAGAAACTTGATATGTTTTGTGACAAAACTACAGATAAGGATAGTGTTCTGATTGGGGCCACTACAAAATTGATAGAAGATATTACTTCTTTCAACAAAGGTTACACTGACGAGATGAAGCTTAAGAAAGAAGAAGATAGGAAGGTGTTTGATAACATTGAGAAGTCTCTCACTGGATTTCAAGATACACTATCAAGGTTTGATTTTACATCAACAACTTCAATTTCCCATGGATGAATTTCCTCAATGGTTTCTTCTATGGAAATGTGCTTGAAGACTAAGTTGGCACCAATTCTTGATTTGGACCTTCATCTCCCAAAAAATGATCCACCTCCAGTTGCGGATTTGTCACAAGGGGGAGAAAGCGAAGTTGGTTCATCAAAGGAGAAAGGGGAAGACAAAGGGAAAGTTGTGTGGAACCTGATCTTTACTTAGATTCCTACTTCCTTACATATGAAGTCAATAATGACAACTTCTTCAACTACAACTCCTGTTCCAAATGTGGAGGTAGACTTATCCAAGTTGTAACAAAAGAAAGGGATAAGTATTGGGGAAGGAGGATCAAGTTCGTCAACTGCAAAATCTATGACAACCACTGATCCTAAAGACAAAGGAAATGGTGTCCATGTCTAACCCTCAGAAGAAGAAAAGAAGAAGCTCCAAGAACTGGAAATGGAAAGACTCGGGAAATTAAGCAGTATTATGAGACAAAGATCGAATGATCCATCAGGACTCAACAAAGGAGATCCTAACAAAGTTTGGTGTTATGAAACAATTGAGATCACAACTTTTAGTGAAGAAGAGGGTTTTATTGTGAAGCCCAAGAAGAGCTATGACATTGAAGATACTGAGTTCAATCAACTAGACTTCCCAATTAATCATTCGTTATTTGTCTTTCCTCATTTCAAGCTTGCCAAAAGTTACAAAGACAAGGATGAGTTTAAGAAGATGAAAATTTGTTTCCATGTGGTTCTTGGGAAGAATGAGAAAGAAATATGGTCCTTAGTGAAGCTAATAAAGCTTGTGTCGATAACTCCAGATGCTTTGTTTGAAGGAGTTTTAAAAAATGTTTGATACAACGTTATGAGGCCGAACAATGTGTTATTCGATTTCACAATTGCAAAATTTCCTATGATGAATGTAAATGATCTCATCACAACTGCGAATCTGATGGGTGATTTAAACAAATCCCAAATTCCAAACAAGGCACATACATCATTGGATATGGGCATATCAAGGCCTTCTTTGATGCTTACTTTCCTCACTTAGCTTTGACTGATATTGATTTCTCCGTCACCTTCAACAGAAAGTCAAAAGTCCCAAAGGATTTTTTGAATGGAAAATCGAACATTGAAGAATATGAAGATGGATAAATTATTCAAGATCCGTTGGGAGTTGTGTTTCAGGGCAGAGGCAAGAAAGGCGGAAGGAAGAAATTTTTGTTTCGTGTAGATGATGTAGAAAGATACTCAAACCATAATCTTTCTAGTATCTTGCTTCACATCAACAACTATCAGAAGAATGAGAATGAATACATAATGGAGATCAAGAAGATCATCTTATGGTACATGGAGACTCGCAACGTTTTGTTGCATACTATAAAGATACTACCCTCAGTTTGAAGATCTGTTATTGTTCACAAAGGGGGAGAATGTAGATTTTATCTATGTTGTGATATGATGAACCTTAGGTAGTGTCTTATATCTTGAATTGTCTGTAAATAGCGAAGGTCAACAAAAGTTTCTTATGTAATGTATTTTATAGGCATATTAGTGGTTCGCTATGTGATGTCGAGTCCTAGTATTTTTTGTGTATGTGAGTACCCTATAAAATAGGATAGGTGCATTATAGAGTTGCTACTTTTACGCGATTGTACGCTTTGAGCTTTTCTCTCAATGCGACTCTCGTGTACTTATTCCAGATCTATTGAGCTAAAACCAGATCTTATTTAGATTCTATGTTCTTTATTACTCTGATTTTACTTATGATTAATCAAATCTTAATTCAAACATCCTTTCATAAAGCTTTACATAATGTTATATGAATTGAAGGAAAACCTTTTTCTAAGTGTGGTATACTTGGAACGTGGCTTTCTATTTATCAAATAAACACTACAAGAAAAATGACCTACAAACACACCAAAAAAGTGTGACCATATGTGTATAGTGACATTTTATTTTTTCACTGAAAGTGTGACAGAAGGTGACGCCATCGTATGGGTCTTATGGTCACTTTAAAATGTAGTGTCTGTATGATAAAAGTGTGGCAAATGTGTACGAAATTTTGTTCCTTAAATATCCAATATTGTAGCGTTAAACCGTCAGTAGACACATTTATTTGGTAACTGTGGTGACTGTATATCACCAACTTGCGACATTCATGATGTTTTAGTGTAGTTGTTTTCTTTTATATTGTCACACAGTTTAAATTTTATTAAGACTATTGTGTATCTTTTGTAAACATGTAATTACGGTGAGCATGATCATGTTTGCTAAATGGCTACATGTAATTAATTCCATAAGTGGCGAATTGCTAATAATTAGTCACAAAAAACAATCAATTTTTTGTGACTATAGCCTATCGTATAGAGACACACAATTAAGTGAAATACAATCATAAGTATTATAAAGACACACATTTTGTTAAAATTAAGGACTATTCGGTATCGTATTAAGACTATTGGGTATATATTAGACACATATAATTACGGTGAACATGTCCATGTTCGGTAAATGGACACATATAATTAATGAGATAAGTGACGATTTGCTAGTATTTAGTCTCAACAACAATCAATTATGGTATTTATTTGCCACATAAATTGTTTTTCATGTTGTTATTGTTTAACTTAGTCACAAAAAGTTTAGAATAAACATCATTTCAAAACAACTGCAGACTCATAATTCTTATATATTATGACTATTGTTAACCATTTAGCCACACGCTAAAAAATGATGTAAAGTAACCATTATATAATTTTAGAGACATTGAAAACCTATAAAACATGGCCAAAATTATATTAAAGCCACAATAATTCAATTTTTATTGTTACTTTTTCTACATTGTAGACACATCAAAATAATTTAAATTAAAATAACCAAACCCAACAATATGAAACAATATCAAAATTCATAATTTGAAATTAGTAATAATTGAAATCCAAATCCATACATTAAATTCCTAATTAAAATACAAAAAAAAAGAATATTGTACTAATTGCAAGTATTTAAATTATGGTAAAAAAAGCAAACACATCATAAACCAAAACCTAGACATAACTAGGCATTCATCTTATTGGTATTGCTCATTGTTTTCTTGAGAAGGGTATCAGATGATATGTACTCCTTATCTTCTTGAGAAGGGTATCAGATGATATGTAAGTTGGTTTCCTTTTCTGATTAATTTACTATCCTTGTAAAATAAAAATAAAAAGACCTTAATATAGTATCCCTGTAAAATAAAAATAAAAAGACATTAATATAGTTAATTTACATTTCTTTAATTGTCTAGTATATAATAGCCAATAGAATAATAATATTAATAATACCTATAAAGTATATGTCATGAGTGCTCAACTAATGTATTTATGACTCTGCCAAGTGTAAGCAAGCTCTTGTTTACTCTCTAGCTTCCTTTGCTCTACCCTACAAAAAAAGACAGGGATAACCTTCAGGACACATCTAAATTTCCACTATGTAAATGTGTATATATGTAATATATGATATATCATTTGCAATTTAAATTTATTTACCTCCCTAACACCAGACCTATAAATATTTTTAGATCCATCAAGATCAACAAGAATCAACTTTCCGCATATAATAATCTTTTCTCCTTCTTACTGTATTTTTTCATAGTTTACATTTGTATCATGTCCAACCACAACTGCTCCAATCTGCATCATAACTTAAAAAAAACTACACAGGAATACATAATTAGATGTAAGCAAGCTATTTCGGAAGGAAAATATTTGTTTAAAATTTTCATATACTTTTAACACCTTTTCAAGATGTTCAAGCTTTCCGATATAAACTTGTTCACATTCATCATCACCATCTTCATATAGCCACTCTTCGGTTTTTTTGCAGATTTTTAGAGATGATCTCTACCTCTGAATCTGTTGCAATGTTCCAATAGGAACTAAAAAGATAAAGTACAAATATTCTATCAGATTGTAAGCAATATATATAGCCAAAAGTTAAGCAACACAAATAACTTTAATGAATTACTAAATCAACTGTAAAAATTTACCTTGCTACGTGTCATAGATAAAAGACTCGAGTGTGTTTCTTTGTTCTTTTGTTTTCTCCACCATAATGTCTTGCTCTGCAAAGATCTGTGCTCTTTTTTGAGCTTTGTGTATCTCATCTATTATTGTTAGCATATAATAATTCTCAGGAACTACAAGCTTCTACTCCCTGGCCCTGCTTCTTCTTGCTTCTACAGCGTGGAACAATGTTTTGCCACAGTTTATCTAGCTTATACATAAAGTTTCACAAAAAAAAAAAAAATACAATTTTATTCAGAAATGTGGATTACATGATGTGAATTAAATAGGCTAGAATGAGTAGCAGGTTTATGACCAGCAGCATCATTCTTCGTAAGATGATTAGTCATCGTTGATCAACAGCCGGTGCATATAAGAGTAATCAACTGAATGGTGTGTAACTTCTAAAAACTAAAGCAACAAATAAAAGAGAGAACTATATCATAATATGTTAAACATTTGTGCAAATTAAAAACAAGCAATACTTACTGATGCAGTTTCTATTTGTGCAAATTGGGAAACAAGCAATACTTACAAAAATTACCTTCACATATTGTGTCCACAAGCTGAAAATCAGAATGATCGGGCTGTTACTTCATGTTTTCCCAGCCTCCATAACCCCGAAATCGTTATCAACGTCATCAACGACAACCGGAGATGGGGACAAACAAGTGCACCGAAGATGGAAGGTCAGGGGTGTGTTGTGATGTGGAGTAGATGCGGAGCGAGTTTACCTATTAGGGCATAGTGTTTGAGAGCGGTCTTCGACTCCAACCGTAAAAAAAACGATTTCAGATTTTAAACATACCTTTGCGTGCGACAGTCAAAGATAGGAAAGCCGAAGATGGTGACGAACGCAGCACAGGAGGTGGCCGAAGGTCTTTAGGATTGACGTCGGAGGCGCACGCTTGAAGATGGGGGTTCTCGTCAACTTCAGTCATAAGAGGAATTAGGGCATAGTGTTTGAGAGCAGTCGTCGACTCCAACAAAGAGAATTTTCGTGAAATAGGGGTCTCGTGGGGGGAGATTAAAAATTTTCGTGAGGTATATAATATTGGAGGGAGATTGTAATTTTCCATGGGATCCACACAAAAACTGATTTCGTGTTTCATGAGGGTGTACAAAATAAAAATTGTTGTTGGCAGGGTTCGAACTCACATTAATTTCCTATTACTATTATTATTATTATTATTATTATTATTATTATCATTATTATTATTATTATTATTATTATTATTATTATTATTATATGTGTATCGGGATGACAATTTATACATGACACGAATTTTTCACCACCACCAAGCCCAAAGCCTTGGGTCACAAACCATAATCCCTAAGCCCTAAAGCATAATCCCTAAGCCCTTAGCCCTAAGCCTTGAGTCACAAACCATAATCCCTAAGCCCTTAGCCCTAAGCCTTGAGTCACAAACCATAATCCCTAAGCCCTTAGCCCTAAGCCTTGAGTCACAAACCATAATCCCTAAGCCTTAAACAATAATCCCTAAGCCCTTAGCCCTAACACATAAACTATAAGCCTTAAGCCCTAAGCCATACCACCTTTAACCATAAGCTATAAGCCATGAGCAATATACCATACATCATAAGATTTAAGTTGTAAGACTAAGAATTTAGCCATAAGCCATAATCTATAATCCATAAACTCTAAACCCTAGGCTATAAGCATAATCCCTACACCTTATGCCTTAAGCAAGGTGCCTTAAGAAATATCTAGTAATCCATAAACCATAAACCATTAGCCAAAATCCGTAACTCCTACAACATAATCCCTAAGTCGTACACCTTAAGCCTTAAACAATAAGTTATATGCCATACGCCTAAAGCCACAATCCATAAGACATAAGCCCCAAACCATGAGCCTTAATCCATAGGCCATATGCCATACACCCTAACCCCTAAGAGACACGCCTTAAGAATAAGTTATAATGCCTAAGCCACAAACCCCACCATCACCAAAACTCATTTGCTATAGGCAATTCCAACCGTCTTCAAACGAAAATCATGACATTTTTTTTTGCAAAATCTTTCCAAAACTCTAATAATAACTTATGCAGTTTCGGTGGTAGTCAATGACTATATAAGTCAATTGATTAACTAGTGAAGACTATTCTTTAAATTTAGACATACATTAGTACAAAAAGAATGACCGTTATATAATTATAGTCACACATTGAATGACCATACTATAACTATATTGATCATACATTATTGTCATTTTTTGTATAATAACTTAACCAGGAAACAATTTCAGTTTTACAGCAACAAAATTTCATTTTATAAAGACTATTCTTCAAACTTACAAATACAATAGTACAACCAGAATAAATATTACATAATTATAGTAACATATTCAATGAACGACCCCTAATTATACCGATAAGACATTATTGTTCTTTTATAACTATATTTACATATAGACACATATATTAGCTGTAATCATAACTAAATGCTACCTACACACAATATTTGTTTCTTCTCAAAGCCAATTCATCATATTTTGACACACATAATAAAAGGTACATGACCATAAATAACCAATACTAACTTGTTTTCTTTTCTTGCGTTAACTAAGTACAACTAGTACAGAACCGCCCTATGGACACACAAATATTTAGTGTGACCATATGTATCACCTTTTAGCTACTTTGTCTGTTATGTGTCTAAAAAGGCACCAAGTTTTAGACACACATACAACTGACTCATGTCACAATACATTTATCTACGGTCTCTCATAAAAAAAGTATGACAATCTTAATCGATACATGTGGCTGATTATTGACCTATGGCCTCAGTGTTCGAGTGTGGCTAATATTTGTCACATTTGGTATAATTAAGTGTGGTTAAAGTTTTGATTATCTATATAATGGCCACACAAACTAATTTAAATGTATCCAAAAATAGTCTCTAAATTTTTTTAGTGACCTTTGGCCACACTTTTAATAAAAAGTGTCACAAGCCGTTTTTCGGAAAGTGTGACTGTAGGTCTTTTTTGTACTAGTGAAATAGAGAGCTTATAGAGTGAGACTTCTCACTCGAGGATTTATTCTTTCGAAAGATGGGGGCTGGAAATAATACTTTATTTTGGATAGACAAATGGTGTGGAGATCATGTCCTAAAGGAGTCTTTTCCGAATATATACAAGCTGATAAAAATCACTTGGTGGCGGACTGGCACACTCCCGACCGGCAGCGGAAACGCTGGGCAGTGCGAACGTGGGGAGATTGGGCTGAGGGATATATATATATATATATATATATATAATATATATATATATATATATATATATATATATATATATATATATATATATATATATATATATATATATAGAGAAAGAGAGAGAGAGAGAGAGAGAGAGAGAACATAACACAAAAGTTTATTTCAAGCATTTCTTTTATTTATTGTAAATTATTCTGGGTTACATTTTTTTAAAAGACAAGAACACAACCTAAACATCACTAGAAACGATAAACAGACAGAACCAAACTCCAGCAAGCTTCCTTGAAGACCTCCTCCTCCTCCTTGACACGACTATCCTCCACACTCATCTATCTGAGAATACATGTATTTTTTAAAACGTCAACATAATGTTGGTGAGTGCACAGGTTTTTATAGTTTTTGGCTTTTATTTGGGTGTATTAATTTAAGAATCCTTTTTCTTTAGAAAAACCTTTCCTAAAGTATTTTGTCAACCCTAGCTTACTATCTTTTCAGGATATCTAACAATCCTATCTTATTATCTCTTAGGTTGTTTTATTAGTCCTAAATTTACTATCTTTGTAGGATGCTTAACTAATCCAAATGTATTTTATCTACCACTCTAAGGCATCCCTAATGGTAGTCGGATCTCTAAGGTGATCTAATGTATTACCATTAGCCCTCATAATGGATGTTGTTTGAATAATTATTTTCGCTGCCACGACGCTTCATCGGATGTCGAATAGTGAATAATAAGAAAGTTATCTTGTCGGGATTGTAGCTAGCAATCGTAGATGGGGTTGTCAAACCCCGTATAGATCTATACATATCTTCCTAGCTCTCGCAAGATTAATGATTATAGGTATCAGGGAATTCCGAATTTAATCAAGGCCTTTGGATGAATATAACAGATCACTAACGCATTGACCTTAGGTACTTATCTTTTATCTTTTAATCTTCCTTGGGATTTCCTATAACTATCACAATATAAATCTTTTTATCTTATATTTGATAATTATAACTTTTGATCTCATAATTATTTTGTATATATAAGTATTCATATATATACCCTAATTATGGTTATTTGAAAATAAGATATTTGGGCAGCGTAACAACTAAGTACAGTGCATATCCCTATATTTGACAAACATAACTTCTAGGTACTATGTTATCATAGGGATTTGGCCATTATAACATCTAGGTATTATCTCTTCCTAGACTATTAGGCATCATAACTCTTAGGCATAATATCATAGCTTACAACTAGGCATTAGGGATGAAAGTGGGTCCAAACCCGGACCGGATGGACCCGGACCCGGACCCGGAAAACCCGGAACCGGTTAATGGGATTTTGTAGAACCGGAAACCGGACCGGTATATAGGAACCGGTTCCGGTTCGGTTCCGGGTACGGTTCCGGGTAAAGTGGGTCTAGAACCGGAAAACCCGAAAACATCAAAGTGGGTAGGTTGGAACCGGATAAAGTGGGTTTAGAACCGGAAAACCCGGAAAAACCGGAATTTTTTGGTAATTACTTACTACTTAGTGGGTTGAACTTTGAAAATTTTCATATTGATATCCTGACTTTGGGGGACTGTAACTCATTGAATATGAAACTAAAATTAACAAAATTATAGTCTAAAATCATGTACAAACTCTAAAATACACTCTGGAAAAAACCGCATGTCAATCCGACTTTAAACGAATGAGATATGCATGTGTTAACATTTTTCACTTAATACAAAGTACAAAAACAAATTGCTGAAAAGTTGAAAATTTTCAGTTTTGATATCCCGACTTTGGAGGACTGTAAATCATTGAATGTTAAACCAAAAATGACAAAATTAAAGTCTAAACTCATGTACAAACTGTAAACTACAAGTTTCAAAAAACCACATGTCAATCCGACTTCAAACGAATTAGATATGCATGTTTTAAAACTTTCACCGAATACAAAAAAACTGAAAAACTAAAAACTTCCAGCTTTGATATCTCGACTTGGGGGACTGTAAGTCAATGAATATAAAACTAAAAATGGCAAATTTATAGTCTAAAATCATGTACAAACTCTAAACTACATGTTGGAAAAAACCGCATGTCAATCGGAGTTGAAACGAATGAGATATGCATCTTTTAAACGTTTCACAAAAACCGGTTCCGACCCTAAAAGAGGTTCTGGTTCCAAACACTGGTTCCAGTTTTTAGACCCGTTTTACCCGGACCCGATGGAACCAAACCCGGATTACCCGGAACCCGGATAAAGCCAATTTTTAAACCCGGAACTGGAACCGATTCTATATATTCCTGTTCTAACGGTTCCGGTTCCGATCCGATTCCGGTTCCGGTCCGGTTTTCCGGTTCTAAATCTCATCCCTACTACGCATAGTCTCTATAGCTACATTATCCTAAGGTTCTAAGGTTTATAAAAAGATTTGATATTTATAGATATACATATATTTTCATAAAACCATTTGATAAGCATGTATTCACCCCGTAAAACATTTAAAATAGTAAAATAGGGGTCGTGAACTCACCCTAGTCGTGCGAAACCTTTGATGTAGGGTTGAATCGGGCTCGAGACTCTAAGGACCACTCTAAAGGGTAGCAGCTTCTAGATAAAAAGTTATAGAGAGGATTGAAGGAGTGTAGAAATGGAATGGCACCGCTTTCTATTTATAGTTGAGTTTTGGAGATGCGCGTCAGGCAAATATCTGCACGCGCCGCGCGTGGTCATCGAGGCTCCATCCG